CCCCAGTGACCTCCAGTGACCCCTGCGCTGCCATGACTCTCCTGTCCCTCTCTCTCCTCCTGTCTGTCTCTGGGCAGTGACCGGGTCAGAACTCCAGTCCAGTTCCAGGAGGGCTGCACAGCGCTCTGGTCACTGCAGGTGGATTCTGGGGTTCCCCGAGCTGCAGGGCTAGAGGACAGGCTGAGGTGTCCCGGTTAGTCGCCCCGGCTGTGCTCTCCCTGGGCTGGACCCCACGCGTCCCTGCACTCCTCCTGTCCTGGCAGGACCATGCGAACTCCACACAGACTGCACCCCAGGATTCGAAGCCAGCCGCCGCCGCCGCCCCGCTTTCCAGCTGTGCACCAGGGCTGTTATGGGGGAGGGGCGTGTCCACCGGGCGGGCCCTGCCCCTCGAACCCGCTCCCCCCTTCCCGGACACTGCTGTAGCGCTGCCTGCATGTGCGCACGGGATTGTATTCAATAAACCCGGGACAGCAGTGGAATCCGTCCTGAGGGGACGGGCTGTCTCCTCTGTGCAATGCGGACTTTCTAGAGCCTTTGTCACCATAATAAACCCATTTCAAATCGCGGCTGCCCGGGGCGCCTCGCAGCTGGAGGGGTCAGCACGGCTGGGCTCGGCTGCAGCAGCACCGGGGAAGGAGCTCGGAACCAGTTCTGGATTTGAACGAGCTCAGAGGGGGAGGCTCCCCGATATCCTTGGGGATACGGTTCCCGGGCTCGGGGGCGTCGCCGGAGAAGCCCCGGCAGCCCCGGAGTGTAGACGGGCTCGGGGGACGGGCGGGAGAGCAGAGTCAGAGGGGCGAAGGCTGCGAGCTGGGCAGTCGGACGACAGTAAGTCATTGCGCCTCTCTCCCCGAGCCCGGTTTTCTGTCTGTCCCCGGGAGAAAGAGGGAATCCTGCTCTCCTCGACCGGCTGCTGCACCTATCGACCAACGACCACTGTTGAAAGGGTTTATTAGAGGGTGGCTGGAGGAGCGCCGTCGGGAATACATCCCGCCTGTTCAATGGGTTTTCAGCTCTGCAGATATTATTGCGGCAGTACTGTGCTGCTTGCAATGGTGGCTGTTCATTTCAACAGGATGCGGATTCATACCGGAAACCGTTGGGGGGGGGGGCATTTATTTGAACCCTGGGTCGGACCGAGCCCGGCAGCACTGTCCTGCAACCCTCGACATCCGGAACCGAGGTGCGCTCTGTTTCCCAGCCGGACGGTCGTCGGTGCGACACCGCAGGTCCTTCCTCCTTTCCCTTCCCCCTTCCCCCCTCCCTGCCTGTCTGCCTGCCCCCCCCCCCGGTCATCTCGGTCTCTCCCAGCGCAGGCCGCCGCTCCGGTAGATCTGGTCCTCCGGAAGTGAGCGGCGGTGGGTAAGAGCGGCTCTCTCCGCGCTGCGTGGGGCTGCGTGGGGAGGGGGCAGTCGGTGACCGGGGGGAGCCGGGCAGCATCTGAAAATAAAAGTGTCCGAAATCGGGGGGACCCCCTGCTCCGTCACTCCTTCCCTTAGCCCCCCCCAATCCGCACCACCACCCCCCCCGACAGCGGCGCAGGTACCTTCCGTCTCGGACCCTCGCCTGCCGGAAGATGGCAGTCCGGGGTCCGAGGGGAGAGCCGATGCGGAGGTCGCGGTAGCTGTGCGAGAGGCGACACGACCGCAGGGAGCCCGGTGCCCGTGTGTGTGTGTGTCTGTGCTGAGGGGTGCTGAGCAAACACACAACCACAAAATCATCCCCCAATATTCCTGATCTCCGCGGCTGCTGCTGCTTTCGGACCTACGACTGTCATGGCCGCCCGGCTCGGCTCCGTCTCTGCGCCAGACCTGGGTCCGACTGCGGGCAGCGAGCGCCCCGCCCGCCAGCGCCGCCGCCGCCGGAGCCCGCCGGGCAGGTCGGGCTTGTGCTTTTCTCTTTTCCGCACCAATAGCGACCGACAGCAGCAGGGAAACCCAGCTCTCCATCCGGAAAGCCGGCCGCGGGTTCGGGCTCGATCGCTCGGACCTGCGTCTCGGCGCGATGTAATGGCTGCCGGGGGAGGCGACAGCGCCTGTAGCTCGGAGAGGAGAGGAGGGGAGAGGGGGTTCAGTCTCGACAACGGCGCCTTTGGGGGTCGAAATGCGGGTCCCGTTCGCACCCGTGCACCCATCGTGGACCCCACGGACCCACGGGGGGACCCGGCCGGCGGACGGCGCGCTGCTCGCCGCGGAGACAGGCGAGGCGGTCCCGTCGTCTCCGGCACCGGCTCCCCCCGCCGCCCCCGGGGG